CATGTCCTCCATCATGATTTCGTACAGGCCATGCCAAAGTAGGAGGTCGAAGATGGCGGGCCTCGGGGTGGGTCCATTAAGAAGGACCTGCCTCACCGCCGCCATTACTGTCGGCTCGAGGGTCCGGTTCGGGGGCCGACTCAGCATCCTTTGCCTCCTGCCTCTCTCGGGCGAGGCGGTCGATCCGCGCATTTCGTCTCTGCCTCTCGAGGTCTGAGTCCCAGTCGGTGAGTTCCGCCTCGTAGGCGGCCCAGGCTCTGGCCCTTCTCTGTAGGTCGGCCCCGGCGTGTCGTACAGCGCCAGAGTATCTAACGGCGGCTGCTCGTATTCAGTTTCCAACCTCGAGGGGAGTGGCATCTGGCTCGAGGGGTAGGTCCCACCAACCGGTGGGTCCCTGGAGGGCGTCCTCTTTGGCGTGACGTATGCGTGCGTCGTGCGCTCTTCCTCGGTCCATTCGGGCCTGGACTTCTGGGGACTCCCGGGCATCTCCTGGGAGTCCGAGGGACTCGACGTACATGTGATAAAGGAGAGGCCAGGGGCGTTGTGCAGCAGGGACAGGGTCAGCGAAGGCTCGCGCTTGTACCGACGGCTCCCAGTTGGAGACTCCGGCGAGTCGCTCGGAAACGGTAATTGTTCCAAGTTCTTCGGAGTCGAGCTCGCCATACTCGCCCCAAAGCTCCCCATCCGTCGGCTCGTGCACGGGGATGGCGGGAGTGGTCGGGATCGTTTCGGACCGGTCAGAGACTGCATCGGACTCCGATCTGGGCGAGACTCCGGCCACAGGAGTTTCTTCCCTTGGGTCGGCGTAGACCCAGCTGGTACGGGGGTACCAGGCGACTGGCTCTCCCCTATCGGTTGGCCAGGAGCCTGAAACAGGCTGTGGCTCAGTTGCACGGGTGGTAGCCGCGGAGGCTCCGAGGCCAAGCTCTCCAGGGTCGTCGTAAAAGTCATCTCTAGCCTTTCCCTTTCCGTACCTCTTCCACTCTGACTCTGCGTCCGTCCACCGGTTCTGGGAGCGTCCGCTCCAGTTGTCTCCGGTATAGGTTGCATCTTCCTCCTCGTTCGGGTAGAGGTCACCGAGGAGGTTTTCGAGTCTGATTCTTTCGAGGTCGGTGAGCTCGTCGCCTTCAAACTCGGTGTCAGAGCCTTCTTGGCTCTCGACCAGATGCCCGGTGCCTTGTCCTCGGGCTCCGTCGGTGCTTGACTCGCCTTGGACTGGAGACTGATCGAAGAGGCTTGGTACGGGCGAGTCTCCTCTGTCGAGGAGTACCCCCCGGGTATCGGTGATGTCGACAGAGTCGTCTGACTCGGCGGTGGCGCTTCTGTAGGAGTCGGTGCTCGGCTCTGAGGATCCCGAGCTGGATCGCGACGATGTGTAAAGGGACCCTCCAGGTCCTCTGGGTGTGATGGGTCGGCCATCGTGAAGAATTTGCTGAGAGGCCGTGGGAATGAAGATTACGGGCGGCGGGTAGGCTGGGGTGGCCGGGACGTAGTGGAAAGGTAGCTGTGCTCGTACTCGTCTCTGCTGGCGACAGCACCGGTGGATGTAGTACAAGGAGGTGAACAAGAAATAGGTTATAAAAAGCACGGAGATGACTGGAATGGCGTCGGATAAGGGCATCCGTCCGTTGGCTTATTTTCTGAGTGGGTCGACGATAAGAACGGACCATACGACGGTCAGTGCGATAATGGTTAATGCGGCGAGGGTCGCGATAATCAGGTTGAGGTCGGTCTCGTAACTAGGACCGGTCATCAACGGGATTTCGTCGTCGAAGGATGGGTCAGTCAGTGCCAGCAGGATGACTGCCAACAGTGAAGCTAACTTTAATGCTAGGGGAAAGGGTTTCGTGGTGCCTTCAGATAAGGGGAAAGTATCCTCCGTACAAAGCAACTAGCAGCCCTGCTAGGAGCGGTGCGGCGATACAGACTCTAATGAGAGCAAGGGTGAGTAGAACAGTTACTAGAACTGCAAAGATAGGGTCGTTAACGATGTAGGGAATAATCCAGGCGATGACGGTGGCCTGAAGCAGTAAGTCGAAGGGTGTAACCCAAAGGACCACTGCTATCAGGAAGTGTATCGGACGAATTTTGGTAGGGGGTGCTGAACCTTTGGTCCACTCGCGATGCGCTAACAGTCACGGAACTGTCCTCGCGAACGCAAAGCGACGACCTCTCTGGTCAAGCAGGGGGTATTCAATCTAAAAGGTAGATAGCACTGACGAAGCGTCAAAGTGCTGCTAGCAACCATTTCGGTTTAACTAGGGAATATAATGGTATGGCATTGGGCAGTGTTCTTTCTCTGAAGTTGCGCTGGGCAACGGTGTGTCGAGCTTCGGCTAAATGTTAGCCACTAACTCTAATCGACTTAGATCAACCTAGGATCGCCACTCGCACTTCGGTGGACGATACGCTGGGAGGTCAAAGGGAATGATAGAGAGCTAGCGACGAACTAGATAGTTCGTGAAGTCGTGAGCTTTGAGGTTAGGTAGATTAAACCTTAGCCGAAGCTGGGGTTCAGACCAGCTGAGGCTCTACTTAAATACACGTTGAGTAGACTAAAAATAGTACTGTGAGAATGTCTGATCAGAACTGCAGCATAGGATAAGCATGAATGCATAAGAAAAGAAAAAGATAAGAATAAACCGTAACACTTACTGGGTCATGTGTTTTGCGCGGTGTCTTCAGGGCACAGGAAACTATACAAGGTTGGTTGTTGGTTCAGCTCTTTTGTAAGCCATAGTACATGGATATCGCGTCTACAACGTATGCTCATATCTAACCTCCTAGGTGTGATTGCAGTTCTTCCAGAGTTGTTGGTAATATGTCGCCTACACTGGCCTCTTACTAATTCTCATGGTGGCAGGACAACTTGACATTGTGATGTCCGGTGTACTCCTTGGGTCCGCATCCAACATTTTTCTTCCCTTAAGTAATCAAGCACCAACTATTCTTTAGTCTGCTTACTGGAACCCCAATAGCCGGGCCGTTATACGCCCGTTTCGGTCTTCGTGGCCCATTCATTTTTGGCATCATAGTTCCCTTGCCCGACCTAGTCTTTAGGCTCCTCATCACCGGCGCATCCACGCCCCCGCCGTCCTCAGTAATATTGGATCATATACCGTTAGAGGGGAAGGAATTAGATAACAAGGAGATTGGAGTTACAGTTCAATCGGACGAAGCTAGAGTGTCGTTCGTGCGAAGTTTTCGTCTTCTGCTCAAATCACACCGCGTTCTAGGGGCAGCATGCGTCTCGGCTATAATCGCGTTCATTGTTCTGCCCTTCTTCTGTTCCGGTCTACAACGTCTGACTTGTTTTTCACAGTATATTGGAGGGCATGTTGAATACCGTCTTATCTTCTCATCTCAACAGTGTCTGGGGCTTGGATGCTTCAAAAGTTGGCCTTGTTCTTTTGGCTTCTATTATTCCCACTATCTTTGGTGCACAAAACAAGTTCAACTGTATCATGATTTTCAATGACCCACAATGTTTGTTCAGCCCCGCCGATTTCAGGCTGGCTCGCAGATCGCTTTGGTGTTTCGATAGTTATCATGGTTACTCTAATTTCCGTCATGCCGGGGTACTTCATGATGATCCTGGATGTGCATCTGGCGCTACTTATCGCAGCTTATGCCTGTGCAAGTGAGTACTAGTCGTTTCCCCCTGCTTCTGCATGTGCTAAAGAGATAACGCTAGCCCTTTTCACCTATGGACTTGCGACTTTGGTACTTACGGAGGGTGCATTTATCACACGTACAGCTGATAGCGTTGGCTATATGTGAACCTTGGATTGCTTTGCACCCCGTATTAAATCGCATCGACCCAGATGCACATGTCTATGCGCTTAGCAATCTGGCATATGAGATCGGATCCTCAGGTCTGTTATTCTTTACTACCTCCTGTGGGCGGTCAGGTTGGTACATGAATTTTTGTGGAGCGTGTGATTTGGTAACGTTTCTTCCTTTCTAGATGTACGATAATATTGCTGAAGGATGGACGGCGTTTGATGGCTGTGGGGTTACTTGCTCTTTGTATGGTCGTGGCGCTCTTCGTTGGGGGGGAACCCATCAGGCGAAGCATCTTGCGGTGCATTAGATGTTTATAAATACAGACACCATACCAATACATATTGAAGTCATGACGAGAGAGGAAAACAGAAACATTGATATTCTTGTTAGAAGTATTAAACATGGATGTTAGGTTCTAGCAAAGGAGTTGTGATCAGCAACGACAGCAGCCTGGGCAATGGAAGATGATGAATTCTCACCAAAGAGTTTGTGTGACTGCCACATGAGGCTGCTTGTAATCAATTTCTTTGTCTGCCACCCGTAACGCTCATATTGGCATTGCTACTGTACAGTCACGTACAGTAAACCGAGAAGTGTTTTGATAATATTAGTATGGGTGGAAGAATCGCTGTCTTTGGAGCCGACGCCGGGATAGCTTTGTACGAAGTCTTCAGGGGAATGGATGTAGCCACGTCTGACTGAGAATATGGCCGTGAAAAGGTACCCGGAAGGTACTGAATATGATCTTCTGGGACACCGAGAACTTTGATCAGATATTTGGCCATTTCTATTGCATCCGATACATAACCACGTGGCGGGCGGAAGGAAGTTGATTTTATTAGTCGTCGTGACTCCTTAACTGAAACGTAACGATGTCCGTACTACAGAGAGGTATCTGCTTGTCAGATTGTAACCTGAATCGATAGTAAGATGAGAAACTGCTACGGGACCGAACCTATCCCATGCTCTGCCACTTTGGTCAAGCCCCCTCGTGAGTACTTCCTCACGGCCTCGGCGACGGGAAGGTGAAGAAGGCAAGAAAAAGGAGGAAAAGAAGAAAAACAAGGTGAGAACAATAACGCATGGAACCGATGAGAAGTGAAAGGAAGGGTTCAAGAAGACACGATTGGCGCAATAGAGCAGTATCCCGGGGGGATCAATATAGTGGGATGGATTTCCATAATGCGAACATGTCATGCACAAAACAGGTCGGTTCCACGAGCTCTTTATTTTCAACCAGTCGATGAAGAAGAATTTTGGGAGGGCACGATCCCATCAGAGCAGGATAGGTGATCCGGATGATATTGAGAAAGGACGTTCGGCGCTCCCCACATGCGTCATGGGGGCATATGAATAGGACGTGAATGACATCCTCAATGTCATCATGTCACATTCTGCAGTGTCTCCACTGGTGAGTGAGGCCAACCCATTTACCTCTTTCGATAGCGAGATCATGCGTGCCGGTAAGAGCCTGTGTGAGGGCAATCCTATGAGAAGGTATGCAGGTAAGAGCGGAAGGTCGCCGAAGTTGAATATGCGTCAATGGCCCAAAGTCGAGATCCATTGTACAGGTGTAAGGGCTAAACCAGTGTTGATTAGTATCAACCTCTATGGTCAGAGATAAACACTCACAATTTGATAAACGTTGCTGGACAGCTTGGCATCCAATGAATCTTTTAATTTGCACCAGAGCTCCTCTTCCGTTAAGTACGTATCCTTCTCGTACTTTTTCATGACGTCCATCCACTCTTTGTCATGCGTGACTGCTATCTCGAGGGAAGGGTCCTATGAGGAATAGTATGTATCAACATGAATTGTTGCCTATGGTTAATTAATTACCTTGCTCAACAAGTATTCATTCATCACCGTCGAAGGATTCAAGACCTAAATGTAAGACTGGTTTCAGTATGTACCGAAAATGGCTGACATAAACCTCACCTGGTTTCCCAGAGGTGGAAATTCAGGTACTTCTGCGATAAACGATCCATGGGAGTCAGCGTTCTCTGCCATCATCCTTCTCTGGTCCGAGTCCGAGTTGTTTGGTACCGTCTTGGAACCAATGAACGAGGAAAGATAAGTCGAAAATCTAGTCTTTCCGTCGCTCGGCGGGTGAGGTACCTTGTTACTATCGAAAGAGGGAAGCCTATCTTCGGGGGAGCCTTTGATGAAATGAGGAACTGCCAACCACGTTTTGCAGAACAATTTTGCTGAAAGCGATATGGTAAAACCCTGTGCGAATATGCACTGGTTCTGAAGACCTATTGGATAAGGGTAAGTGGCGTAAGGATTCGGGAATAAGCCATCCTCCACTCCAGCATCATCGATCCACTCATTTGCAACTTTAACTGTTTCCCCATCCACATTTTCCAAAGTACACTTGAGATAAAACGTGAAAGACCAATCTGTCTTTCTGATGACTGCGTTTCCCCAAGTAGCTGTTTTGTCGCACCCGGTTACAAGATACAAAAAACCGTTTCGCACATTCCGACCCAAGGTTCCGTTGGCATGGTTGTACCATGATACTCCATATTGTCGAGCGTAGTTTTGGAAGAAGGCTTCATTCATAGTCTCATACCTTGTCGAATAATTTGGAAGGTGCAAGATTGCTGTGAGATCCTCTGAGGTACTAACATCAAAGGCCACCCCAGTATCCACAATGCTATCATCAAGATAAGAAAATGAAATAACGAATATGGATATCTACTCACCCAGGAAAACTCTCAGCAGGAACATCTGAAACGTATCTGCAGGATACGTGCTGACTTTTAAGAACATTCCAGAGCTCCGGATAAGCTTGTACCTCTGGTTGGTCCGGTGTAGGGAGAGGTTGAAGGCCAGGAGGTGCATTTCCGACGACTAGGCCATCAGCGTTCCCGAAGATGCTGAAGAGAAAGTCGAAGCCTCCGTCTTTGTTAATGATCCCGACATCTCCAGGCAATATGCCCCGTATCTGGAACTCGTCCGGTGCGAAAGAATCTGGCTCTGGATGCCAAAATGGATAGCCACGGCATTTGTGGATAAACTCCTTGGTGTAGATGACATGGGCAAAAGGATCATTCATGGTTGTGGGATCAAAGTCCGATTCGACTAGCATGTGCTGTTTTCAGAGGAATATATAGGTGTAGGAATCGGAGAAACCCTTGATCGAGATTCGAAACCAATCCAGTAGCAGCAGTTGCGGAGTCCCCGATTCTTTCCTTTTGTATGAAGAAACGGCACACTGTATCCTATGTATTTGTTTAAGCTGAACTATAGAATGTAGCTTGATGGAATGTTGGAAAAGTGGTGGTGCAAAAAGCTCGCTCGGCGGCTGTGCCACCAGCTCGCATTTTGCACAATCTCAATCTAATTTCAGTTGTGATATGTATGCGCGCCCCCATTTGGACTTCTGTCCATCTCTGCAGGTGCATTAGGTCTCGAGAAAGAAAATATTACCCACCACATACCTTCAACTTACCTTGTACCGCAGAAACATTGAACATTGAAGCTTTGACCTCGTGCCTAGGAAGCTGAATACATATTACATTGACCCTAGAGCTACTGATCAAAGTTTTCTGCGATAAATCCAGACCCTAAATGTCCCACCCTAAATGTGTATGTACTCCCTGAGAGCTACACACATCTATCAGCACACATCGCCATCTGTAGCAAGAGCCCGCTACTGTTTCTGACCGGCAGACATAAAGACGGTATTCTCTCATTATATCCAACGTACATCATCGCCAAAACCTGAGCCATGCGATCTTGGTCAGACCGATACCATCGCCTGCGATCAAGTCGCCCTGACCTGATCTGGGCAATCTTTATGGATCTTGGCCGCCAACCACAGGTGTCCCAGACCTTTGACCCCCATATCATCTGTTCTGGGTACGATCAGAGTGTGATCAGGGCACTTCTGTGGTGTTCTATGCGTTCTGCTACGGTCTCGATCGGTATTGCGAGGCTTACTCGCTCGAGTAAGAAAGGCCGGATCCGATAGGAACTGACAGCTCACGGACGGGTAGACATATTGCCGCACACCCTCAGGTTCTCTTGCAGTTGACGTCGCCAATGTATTAGAAAGTAATTTATTAACACAGCGAAATTTTAGACAGTACACTGAGTTATGAGCAGAGAAAGACGAAAGCATCAGATAAGCATACAGGTAAGCAGCAAGCGGAGCGAGAGCGTTAAAGGGAGCAAACGAGTCATACAGCAGTCCATGCACCAGTGAGAGAAGCAAAGTCGGACAGAAACAGGGCCGAGTACCATAGTTGAAGCTAAGTAGAGTCGGAGATTAGCACAACGTCACTAGACTATACGAGCACAACTCACCTCTGAACCATCAAGGCATCGCGTTGGATTCGTTATCGCCAAGTTCTTCATCAGCAGCCGCAGCCACAGCCGCTCGTTCTTTGATGCGTGCTTCGCGGTTCCTCTTCATTATCGATTCGTCGTCGTCATCGTCAACTTCTTCTTGGTCCTCGTCAGTCTTGGGTTTCAAGATCTCGCTATAAAGAGACAATGTTGTAAACCAGAATTGACGAAGGAGTGGAGACGTACGTAGTGTAGAATTCAACAGTTTCTTGCGCCCATGTATCGCCATTTTCATTGATCGAATCCAGGAAAACTCTTGATAACTTGTGGTTATACTGTTCGAGGTTGAAGCCGTCACTCTGATCCCCCCATGTAGTGCAAGACGATAACGCGAATCGTGCCTAGCATAGCGAATGAGGATCATATTGATAACAGATCAAAAACGTACCTGTACAGCAGCATATACAATCATTTCCTCCGACGTGGTCTTGAGGTTCAGCTTTCCTTTGACAGTGCTGTGTAAGTCGGATGCGTCGTGTTCTGCATTCCCTAGAAAAATTGCACGGAATGACTAGAAAGGCTTTAGTACCAGTTACAAATTAAGTGAGGAGCTCAAACCCGAATGCAAGTATGGCCTCGAAAGAGACCCTTACGAGGATCGGAAGGATCGACAAGCCCTGAATCATACAGATACGACGGAAGGTATCGCGTTGTTATCTTGGTCTGCAGCTTAACCATCATCGCACTATTATCAAGGGTAGAGTCAGGGTCATTAAGCAATGAGAAGGAATGAAATCGATACTGAGGATCTTCATCAAACTGATCTAACCAACGCTGAGGGCATAGAAGGCGAGCCGTGTGGATGTGGTTGAATCCACGTTGGTATTTCTTGAGAGTTGGGAGCAGCGTCTCATCGGTAAGGTCCTTGGTTGAAAGACGCATGATGTTATCACTGATTTTTGTCGTATCATCTGAGCGACCACTACGGGCTCCTGCGTTTATCTATCAACAGTCAGCTAGTGTACTTTAGAGGAAAAGACAAATACCGCTGCAAAAATCTCAAAGACTGCCCTCAATGGATCGTCTGACCCCAGGTCCTCTAGTTGACTGACGTGCATCTCGAAACATGGGAAGAGGAATGTCATGATGTGCATATAGGAGTGCATAAATCGGAAATTTCTACACGGTTGTCAGTAATTTATATCAATATATGCACTTGGTACTCACTCTGGCGTCTCAGGTTCCTTCATCTCACTGTCGCTATCGTCCTCAGCCTTTTCCTCCTCATCTTCGGCAAGCAATTCGAGAATCCCCTTAACCATAAATCCGTGGAGTACGATTCCCTGTACATTGGCCCAGGGATGGATAAATCGAGGAATGTTTCTTGACGCGAGCCGGTAGTACTTCTTGAGGGCGGAAAAATTCCTGTATTTTTCGTCAAAGCCAGAACAATGTAGAGAGGAAGGATGACTACTTCACTGATTTAGGAGGAGACAGACCACGAATTGTTGGTGACCTCTTCCTCTTGCCTAGCCTCAGCGAATCTGCATCTTGAATCTCCACATCCTGTTCATCCTCGCTGTCATTCTCGTCCTCATCCTCGGATACTTGTTGTTGGTGGCGGGCGTCAACAGGGTCCTCATCGTCAGAGGACACAACCTTGTGAGAACGGTTGGTCTTGTGCACAGGCTGCCGTGGTGGTGGTGTTGCTATCCTCGGCTGCTTGATAGGCTTTTTTGATTTTTTTTTTGTTGGAAGATGTTGCAGGAGGTAGATGAGTTGTTGTCTTGGCCTTTTTTGCCTTCAGAGGTGCCGGGAGAGGAGCAGGCTTCATGGTTGACTTCGAAGGAGGATGAAGTAAAAGGCAAGAAGGACAAGCGTGACAGTATGTAACGCGTCATGACGCGATTCTTGTAACACGTGATCTCCACCACCACCGCCATCACAGCGCCGACTCGCTCTCAGCTGTGGAGTCCAGTTACCTCTCGTGTTTCTCTCTCTTCCTGCATCTCTCCCTCTATTTCTCATTTTCACTGGGTAACACAACTTTTTATTTGTGGAAATTTAACTAAATCTGTTTTAGGCTATTATGGGAAGATGCTCTTTCTGCAACGCCTCCTTTCACAATGCTGTGGCCTGCAAAAACCATGAGCGAAGGTGCCCAAGGCGAAAGAATGTCCGTATTCGGTCTCGAAAGCATGTCACGTCCCCATCCGATGTGGAGGAGAATCCAAACTCGGAGATGGTGCCAATTTCTGCTGGGACAAGACTGCAGGCAATTCGTGAGCGTCTTTCACCCAAGAGGCGTCGTATCGACCTTAGCAGAGACAACGCACCTGTATGTGATGCCTATGATGTTCATTGTACATCTCCCAGTCTAAATTTTGTTCTAGATACATGAAATTGATGCAACCATGAATGAAACAGCAAGGACCTTGCCGCATACTCCAACTGCAGGACCGTCTAGTTATGCCGCCATTCCAGACGAAGATGAGCAAGTTGCCAGCCCTCCTCCCATCCCTGTCATTTCAGAAGGCCGCCCGAAGCGAAATATCATCCTTCCAAAGCGCCTGCACGATCTATTACCATCTAAACCTACTGGATTTCGCCTATTTGCATCACTGGAGCAAAAACCACCTCTCCCACCTGCCATGCCTCAGCTGTCACCATCCAGGTCACCTTCTCCATCGGCCTCACCACCACCCGAACCCATATATCTCGAGACAGCTCCAAATGAGATGGGTCTTTATCGGTGTTATAAGGAGTGGCCGACTGTTGACCCTACCATGGGAGGTGGTCTCGATGAGGTCTCTGATGCTTCAATATTCACTTCTCATGCCGACCGCCTCGCAAATGCACCTGAGAGCAGTACTGATCCATTTTATCCCTTCCCAAATGCGACTATCTTCCGCCTTTTTTCGTGGTTCTATCAGTCAACATCTAAATCATTGTCAGACGTCACCTCCCTTGTCCGAACCGTTCTACGGGCACCAGATTTTGATCCCGAGCATCTTACCGATAACTTTGATGCTGCGAAGGAGATCAAGGTGCTCGATACTATTGGCGAACAACAAAATTGTCTTCCATTTTCTTTATCTGATGGCTGGCATGAGACTTCGGTAACCATCAAGCTGCCTCAAACTGGTGTTGAACACATCTCTGAGGAGTCTGCTCCCGAGTTCGAAGTCACAGGCGTTTACCACCGGAACCTTTTGGATGTGATTGTATCCGCCTTCCAGAGCACCACTTTCCTTGACTTTCATCTGAAAGGTTTCAAGGAAATGTGGGATCCTGGAAACGATGACCAGCCGGAACGAGTATATGGGGAGGTATATAGTTCAGATATCTTTCTTGAAATGGAAGATGAAGTTCACCTGACACCTGACCCAAACGGATTGGAAACTGTTATTGCGCCATGCATGCTGTACTCGGATTCAACGCATCTTACTAATTTTGGGACAGCCGCACTCTGGCCCATCTACCTGTTGTTCGGCCTACTCTCCAAGTACGTGCGGGCTCGACCAACGTCAGGAGCATCACATCATATTGTGTACATGCCTACCGTTTGTTTTTACCTCATCTTCTGCATTTAAAATACTAATTATATTGAATTATATCAATCAGATTCCGGATAAAATTCAAGATGCCTATCTGAAATACTTTGGACGGCGTGCATCCCCTGCAATCCTAACTTTTCTGAAACGGGAGCTCGTTCATGCTATCTGGGCAAAGCTTCTTTCACCAGAATTCATGGATGCGTATATAAATGGGGTTGTAATCTTCTGCGCTGATAATATTTACCGCCGTGTATACCCTCGCTTTTTTCTATACTCAGCTGACTACCCTGAAAAGTATGTTAGTATTAGTT